TGAAGATTGGTCCATAACTGTGGCCTGTATCGTGTTTACAAATTATAATGGACAGACGGACGGACGGACACACATGTCTAGATGGACTCAGCTAGTCGAGATATGACGATCGGTATACTTAAATGTGGGTCTAGGACCAATATTTCGCGGCGTTACAAACTTTTGGGGCTGCACAAAGCTATAACACCCTGACAACATAGTTGTGTAGGGTATAAAAACAACATTTATAATAGTCCTTAGAAAATATTCCTTAAAAATTCCCTCTCTGGTCCTTGAAAAATATTTTTTTAGCAAATTAAATTTTCCTTTTTATTTGCGTTTTTTCATTTCCAATAGGGTTTTTCAAGCATTTGCCAGTAATTACCTTTTTATTGGTGTTTGGTAAAGATCTTAATGTCGATGTCAGTCAGTTTGCCGGTGTGAATGTGTGTGTTCCTTTCCTTTTATTGGTATTACATTAAAAATTGAGAAATTTCATTTCCACCTTTCAGTTCAAGTGCCCAGTTTCCAGCCGCAATACAATTCCGAGAAATGAAAAGAAAAAATCCAATTCTGGGTGAATGCTTGTTCTCGATGTAATCGTTACTTACTCTTGAGGGTCATTGTTGGCATACGAAGCAGAGGAGGAAGAAAGCCAGCCATCATGTAAAATGTTATATGTATGTGCGATTGGGTCGAAACTTTTATAACCTACACATTGGGTTATATGTGGAATTAATAATATTTTTTGGGAGGGGAAGGGTTGTGACTGAATATCAAAAAGTGGACCGTAATACAAACATGTTTCTTAAATTTTCTGGTTTTCCCTTTAACCTGATTAAAACCATTGGGGGACCTAAAAAATATGCCTAATTTTTTTAAATTATAATTTTCAAGAAATTTTGAAATAATAAATTCCCAAACGAATACAAAAATAACAACAAACTTAGAATGCCCTTTCATAATGCACCATGGGTTTCTAACAGCTACTTCAAATGGAATGTGGCTATTTTGTGGTACAACTTGTCCGCACAAGGAGACGAACCATCGATGAAACGTTCAAGTTGAAACGAATTGAATCGAACCGAACTGAGCCAGTCGCAATGAAAGAAATAGGATTCTTTTTCTTGAGTAGATTTCAAGTGGAAATAAGTTGTTTTGTAAGTGATGTGTTTTGGGTGTACGGTTTACTTTTAGCCATTGTCGATGTCTTGTTGTCGATGTATGTCAGGAGGTCATACCAATTGATTTGAAATGCATTGCAAAGTGTGTGTGTGGGCCAATAGAAAGGAAAATGGTAACATTTTGAAGTGGCAGGTTATTTGTTGTTCTTTGTAAAAGTAAGTGGAAGTCAAAACATTTTGCAATTTTCAATTCAAAATGGCCAGGTGATATTGTGCCATATTGTGCTCAATGGTAAACAGTTGTCAGACTCAAAACATATGTTACTCGAGAATAAAATCTCTTCACATGGAAATCGGATTCAGGTTATTCGAAAATATTATGATGATCAAAATTAGCCACCGAAAGATACTTTAAACACCAAAGGCCCATCACAGATTCAAGAGGATATGGAGGACGTTGAATAGTCACTTTCTAGCAGGATATGGAAAATGGGGCATATTGATCCACTCCTTCGGTTCAGAAATGTTCAACACTTGAAAATTTTTTTAAAGCACATTTTTCTAAGCACTATAAAAGGCGTGGATTTTTTAAGGCATATTTTTACAAGCATTAGAATAGGCGTAGATTGGTTAAAGAATATTTTTCTAAGCACTAGAATAGGCGTGGATTGGTTAAAAAATATTTTTCTAAGCACATTTTGAATCTCCAACCTTAAGCGTGGATTTCTTAAAGAATATGTTGAAGCTCCAAACTTAAGCGTGGATTAAAGAATATTTTGAAGCTCCAACATTAAGCGTGGATTAAAGATTATTTGAAGCTCCAACCTTAAGCCTGGATTAAAGAATATTTTGAAGCTCCAACCTTAAGTGTGGATTTCTTAAAGAATATTTTGGAGCTCCAACCTTAAGCCTGGATTAAAGAATATTTTAAAGCTCTAACCTTAAGCGTGGATTCCTTAAAGAGTATTTTGAAGCTCCAGCGTGGATTTCTTAAAAAATATTTTGAAGCTTCAACCTTAAGCCTGGATTAAAGAATATTTTGAAGCTCCAACATTAAGCGTGGATTAAAGAGTATTTAAAGCTCCAACCTTTATGTACATTTTGAAGCTCCAACCTTAAGCGTGGATTTCTTAAAGAATATTTTGAAGCTCCAACTTTAAGCGTGGATTTCTTAATGAATATTTTGAAGCTCCAACCTTAAGCGTGGATTTCTTAATGAATATTTTGAAGCTCCAACTTTAAGCGTGGATTTCTTAATGAATATTTTGAAGCTCCAGCGTGGATTTCTTAATAAATATTTTGAAGCTCCAGCGTGGATTTGTTAATGAATATTTTGAAGCTCCAACCTTAAGCCTGGATTAAAGAATATTTTGAAGCTCCAACTTTATGCCTGGATTAAAGAATATTTTGAAGCTCCAACCTTAAGCCTGGATTAAAGAATATTTTGAAGCTCCAACCTTAAGCCTGGATTAAAGAATATTTTGAAGCTCCAACCTTAAGCGTGGATTAAAGAGTATTTGAAGCTTCAACCTTAAGCCTGGATTAAAGAATATTTTGAAGCTCCAACCTTAAGCGTGGATTAAAGAGTATTTTGAAACTCCAACCTTAAGCCTGGATTAAAGAATATTTGAAGCTCCAACCTTAAGCCTGGATTAAAGAGTATTTTGAAACTCCAACCTTAAGCCTGGATTAAAGAATATTTGAAGCTCCAACCTTAAGCCTGGATTAAAGAATATTTTGAAGCCCCAGCCTTAAGCCTGGATTAAAGAATATTTTGAAGCTCCAGGGTGGATTTCTTAAAGAATGTTCTGAAGCTCCAACCTTGGGATTTAAAAAAAAATTTTTTTTGAAGGACCTATCTTAAGCCTAGAATTAAAAAAAACAGTAAGGAAAGTAGTAAAGCCGGGCGGGGCCGACTATATGATACCCTTCGCCACTTCATACCCTTCACATATTCAACAGATGAATACTAACAGACGTCGAATTCTGCAATCTATACTAAATTTTCCATTTGTTCAGATATAGGGTTGCTTCTTGCTATGGGACAAAATTACCTAAAATCGGGAGAAAATATATATAGAAAGCTCTATCCAAATCTGAACCGATTTCAAAACTTTCCACATTTCAAAACTTTAGTACGTTGTGCAAAATTTGTGTCAATTTTGTGTAAAATCAGACGAAAATATATATGTAGAATTTATATCAAAATCTGAAGCGATTTCAATGAGAATGGCAGAGGTTAACTTATTAACTACAGTTTATTGTACAAAATTGTGTGGCAATAGGACAAACTTTGGGTCTTTTGTGCACAATTTACATAAAATCGGAAGAAAAAATATATAGGAGCTATATATAAATCTGAACCGATTTTCAGGAAATTTTACACACATCTCTCCAGTCTCATTTGGTACACCATATACATTAAATCGGACGAAAATTTATATAGCAGCTATATGTAAATCCAAACCGATTTTCACGAAACTTAACGTGCACTATTCTAGACTTAATTAAGTACGCTATGCCAAATTTCGTGCAAATCGAAAGAAATATAGGGACTTTGGTACACCATTTACCTTAAATCGGACGAAAATATATATGGGAGCTATATCTAAATCTGAACCGGGTTTTCCCAATTTCAATAGGGTTCGTCCTTGGGCCAATTAAGTGACCAGTGCCAAATTTCATCCAAATCGGAACATAAATGCGACCTGTACTTTGTTAACAAAAATACATGGACGGACGGACAGACGGACATGCATAGATCGACTCAGAAAGTGATTCTATGCATATTCTCAAAAGGAACCATGGGTCTATCTCGATTATTTTTGCCGGTTACAAACATATGCACAGAGACATAATACCCTGTACCACAGTGTGGTGAAGGGTATAAATATTTGTTAAGCGTAGAATTAAAAAAAAATATTTTTATGCGTGGCTTTTTAAAAACTTTTTTTTTAAGCGTGGAATTCAAAAGAAATATTTTAAGTGTGGATTAAAAAAAAAATATTTTTTGAATCTATTAAAAAACATTTTTTAAGGTCCATATAGGCGTGGATTTTTTTGGGAATATATTTTAAAGGTCAATAATAGGCATGGATTTTTTTCGGAATATATTTTAAAGGTCCCTAAAAGATCCTAAAGATCCTGAAATCGAGCATAACTGACTAAAAAAGAGTCTCATCTTTCAGTTGAAAACTGTGATACCACGCAAAGTTAATATTTGTTTTCCCATTCAATTTATTTATGAACTGCAAACGAAGATGACTTAGTTTCTATACAAAATAATTGATTTCGAACTGCAGTGCACTTATGAATTATAAAATTGACGCATTTTAGTATTTATTTTGACATGAGTAATCATAATAAAAATGATATTCTATATTAACTCTCTTAACTCAATAAAAAAATGGGGGAGAGGGACGAAACTTGTCACCTCACCATTTTCACTCCTCACAGAAAATGCGAAACAATCGATCTGCTTTTGTTCTCTGCTATTTCGATGCAGAGTAGCAGTATTCCGCTCCCTCGTATCAGTTAAAATAAACAATTCACCGCAAGCCAAAACACTACTCTACTCTACCGCATCGAACTGAGCGACTTGGTAATGATGTGGGCAAGTGAAAAGTTTTTAGTACAAAATAGCACGGGCACTAAGTAGGACGTTGTTAATCATACGCTCAACTGAAATAGTTCAGCATAAAAATAAATAGATAGCAAAAAAAAAAAAAGAAACAAGATTTTTTTATTTGTATTTTTAGAATAATCAGAGAATCCACGAGAAAGAAAAAAAAACAAAACAAAATGGTATTGAATGAAAATTGATTATGTGAAAATAATCCCCCGGGAATTGGTGAAAATAATAATAATAAAACTGTGTTTTTTTCAATTTAATTTTAGTTGAAATTTTATGTAATTTTGAGTGTGTTATTAATTGGAGCATTGGCTCAGGATATGCCACCACCAGAACTGGAACCGGAAACAACGACAACAGCGGCACCGGAACCTACAACACCAGAGCCAACGACACCAGAGCCAACGACACCGGAGCCAACGACACCAGAACCAACTACCCCTGAACCTACAACGCCAGAGAAAACCACTCCAGAACCCACAACACCCGAACCCACAACACCTGCGCCAATCACTCCTGAACCCACAACACCTGAGCCCGTAACACCAGACCCCGTAACACCAGAACCTGCAACACCCACACCCGAAGAACCAAATGTAACAACCGAAGTTAGCAAACCAAATGATGCCACCCCACAAAATCCTGTCACCGATTCACCTCATCGACCAACATATCCCAATTATCCTGGTTATCCGGATTATTACAATAAGAAATGTTATTTCAAGAAACAATACGGTCATGCTCGATGGGTATGGACCTGTAGAGGTAAGGCATCAAATCAAAACAAATACTCACCCCGCATTATGATAACATTTAATTTGCATAATTTTCTTCTTTGGGATTTTTATTCCGAATAGGATACCAATATGTTTATCCTGTCGAATGTTATCATTGTTGTCTATATCCGTATGCTGATTTTGCCGCCTGCTACCGAGTGCATTCGAATTATTGTAACAGTGTGAAACGTTATTAAGTGTTGATGATGCGAAAAATAATGTACATACATACTGATATATAAACCCTGTATATAATTATACATACATATATATTTACTTATATATACGACTTATCAAAATGTATTTCCCCATGTGGAAAATGACAACCAAACTCGAATTTTAAATGAAAATCATTTTTTTTATTTAAGTATAATTAACCTATTTAATTGAAATCTTATTGTGTGTGTTTGAATGATTGAAATCGATCAGTATCGAATAGCTGAAAACTGATAATGGGGGGAATTTCCTTTAAGAAAAAATGACAACAACAACAATAAAATGTGATGAGCAGAGAAAACAACAACAATGTAAAATTCTTGGTAATGCTTCAATTGTTATTGATTTTTTCCTAGAATATTTTGGTTGATTTCAATTTTTCAGTATCATAATAATAATTTATATACATTTATTTATGATCTGTAAACATTTTGTAATAAAATATTATAGCTGAATTCATAAAAGATTTTTAAATATATTTTTTTGAACATCTAACTACTAGCTTGTATATAAAAAAAATATTTTCATGGATTAGCTAAAAAATATACTTTTGGTTAAAAAAAATTTAGCCATCATAAGTTTCGATTTTTAAATACTTTTTACAAATTATGCTAATTTTTGTAGGTTTTCTATAACGATAATCATAAGCGGGAATTTAATATATATATATAATTAAGGACTATCAGAAGATGGGATTTAAATATATATATATATATATATATATATATATATCGAGGATCCTAATAATTTCTATGCACTATAATAGACGTGGGTTTTTAAATAATATTTTTACAAGGTTAAAGAATTAAAGAATATTGTTCTAAGCATTGGGTTGGATTTTTAAAGAATATTGCATTGAGGATTGTTATAAGCGAGGATTTTTTACGTGTATTCAAAGAATATTTTTTGAGGACTTTTTGGTCGTGTTTTAACATAACATTTTTTCTAAGGACTATCAGAGAAGTGGATTTTTTAATAAACATTTTATTCTAAGAAATATCAGAGGCGTGTTTTTTAATAAACTTTTTTCTATGGAATATCAGACGTGTGGATTTTTTAAAGAATATTTTTTAAGGACTATAATAGGAGTAGATTTTTAAAGAATATTTTTTTCTAAGGACTATCATAGGCGTGGATTTTTAAAGAATATTTTTTTCTAAGGACTATCATAGGCGTGGATTTTTAAAGAATATTTTTTAAGAACTATCATAGGCGTAGATTTTTTTCTAAGGACTATCATAGGCGTGGATTTTTAAAGAATATTTTTTCTAATTTTTTCTATCATAGGCGTGGATTCTTAAAGAATATTTGTTCTATCATAGGCGTGGATTCTTAAAGAATATTTTTTAAAAAATATTTTTTCTAAGGACTATCATCGCCGTCGATTCTTAAAGAATATTTTTCCTAAGGACAGTCATAGCCGTCGATTCTTAAAGAAAGTTTTTTCCTATGGCTTATCAAATATTTTTTCAAGGACTCTCGTAGGCTTGGAGTTTTTAAAGAACATTTTTTGAGGATTGTTGTAGGCGTGGATTTTTTAAAGAACACTTTTTGAGGATTGTTGTAGGCGTGGATTTTTTAAAGAGCACTTTTTGAGGATTGTTGTAGGCGTGGATTTTTTAAAGAGCAGTTTTTGAGGATTGTTGTAGGCGTGGATTTTTTAAAGAGCAGTTTTTGAGGATTGTTGTAGGCGTGGATTTTTTAAAGAGCACTTTTTGAGGATTGTTGTAGGCGTGGATTTTTTAAAGAGCACTTTTTGAGGATTGTTGTAGGCGTGGATTTTTTAAAGAGCACTTTTTGAGGATTGTTGTAGGCGTGGATTTTTTAAAGAGCACTTTTTGAGGATTGTTGTAGGCGTGGATTTTTTAAAGAGCACTTTTTGAGGATTGTTGTAGGCGTGGATTTTTTAAAGAGCACTTTTTGAGGATTGTTGTAGGCGTGGATTTTTTAAAGAGCACTTTTTGAGGATTGTTGTAGGCGTGGATTTTTTAAAGAGCACTTTTTGAGGATTGTTGTAGGCGTGGATTTTTTAAAGAGCACTTTTTGAGGATTGTTGTAGGCGTGGATTTTTTAAAGAGCACTTTTTGAGGATTGTTGTAGGCGTGGATTTTTTAAAGAGCACTTTTTGAGGATTGTTGTAGGCGTGGATTTTTTAAAGAGCACTTTTTGAGGATTGTTGTAGGCGTGGATTTTTTAAAGAGCACTTTTTGAGGATTGTTGTAGGCGTGGATTTTTTAAAGAGCACTTTTTGAGGATTGTTGTAGGCGTGGATTTTTTAAAGAGCACTTTTTGAGGATTGTTGTAGGCGTGGATTTTTTAAAGAGCACTTTTTGAGGATTGTTGTAGGCGTGGATTTTTTAAAGAGCACTTTTTGAGGATTGTTGTAGGCGTGGATTTTTTAAAGAGCACTTTTTGATTTTTTAAAGAGCACTTTTTTGTTGTAGGCGTGGATTTTTTAAAGAGCACTTTTTGAGGATTGTTGTAGGCGTGGATTTTTTAAAGAGCACTTTTTGAGGATTGTTGTAGGCGTGGATTTTTTAAAGAGCACTTTTTGAGGATTGTTGTAGGCGTGGATTTTTTAAAGAGCACTTTTTGAGGATTGTTGTAGGCGTGGATTTTTTAAAGAGCACTTTTTGAGGATTGTTGTAGGCGTGGATTTTTTAAAGAGCACTTTTTGAGGATTGTTGTAGGCGTGGATTTTTTAAAGAGCACTTTTTGAGGATTGTTGTAGGCGTGGATTTTTTAAAGAGCACTTTTTGAGGATTGTTGTAGGCGTGGATTTTTTAAAGAGCACTTTTTGAGGATTGTTGTAGGCGTGGATTTTTTAAAGAGCACTTTTTGAGGATTGTTGTAGGCGTGGATTTTTTAAAGAGCACTTTTTGAGGATTGTTGTAGGCGTGGATTTTTTAAAGAAAATGTTTATACCCTTCACCACCCTGTGGTACAGCTAATATGTCTTTGTGCATATGTTTTTAACAGGCAAAAGGAATCGATATAGACCCATGGTTTCTTTTGAGAATATGCATAGAATCACTTTCTGAGTCGATTTATGCATGTCCGTCCGTCTGTCTGTCCAAGTTAATTTGCAAACAAAGTACAGATCACATTTATAATCCGATGTGAATAAAATTGGCACAAGTCACTTATTTGGCTCAAGAACGAACCCTATTGAAATGGGAGACAATCGGTTCAGATTTAGATATAGCCGATTTCAGGTAAATGGTGTACCAAGGTCCTTATATATCCTTAAATTTGCACGACATTTGGCGCAGCGTACTGAATATGGTCTAAAATGATGTGTGTTAAGTTTCCTGAAATTTTGCACGACATTTGGCACAGCGTACTGAATTAGGTCTAGAATGATGTGTGTTAAGTTTCCTGAAAATTCAGCTCAGATTTAGATATAGCTCCCATATATATTTTAGTCCGATTCAATGTTAATTTTGTACCAAAGTCCCTATATATCATTCGATTTGCACGAAATTTGGCATAGCGTAATAAATTAAGTCTAGAATGATGTGTCGCGTAAAAATCGGTTAAGGTTTAGATATAGCTCCTCTATATTTTTTTCTTCCGATTTTATGTAAATTTTGCACTAAAGACCCAACGTTTGTCCGATTGCAACACAATTTTGTACAATGAACTGTAGTTAATAAAAGTTAATTTCTGGCAAGTATCATTTAATCGGTTCAGATTTTACATTGCTTCTACATATATATTTTCGTCCGATTTTACACAAAATTCACACAAATTTTGCACAACGTACTGGAGTTAGTATAACCTAGAAGTTGGATATAAATCCTTCACCAAGGTGGGTCCAATCGTCATAAAATTTTGCACTTCGTACTGTAATTACTATAACATAACGTGTGGCAAGTTTAGTTGAAATCGATTTAGATTTCGATAAAGCTTATTTTGTTCCTGGTCCTTTAAAAAATTCGACGTCTGTTAGAATTCATCTGTTGGATATACCCAAAGTGATGAAGGGTATCATATAGTCGGCCCCGCCAGACTTTACTACTTTCCTTACTGTTTTTTTTTTAAATAATTATTCTTTATCGTTTATTATGTTTTTAAACGGTACTCTCAATCGGAAAGGTGGCTTGTAAATTTCCATATTTTAATTTTATATTTTGGATTCTCATTACGAAAAAAATTTCCTTAAGAAATTACAAAATTGTCACAAGTTTTAGAATAGCCCCATATAAAGGTACCCTCCATTATTGGGTATTGGGTGCGTTTTTCAATTGAATTATTTCTAAATTGGTATAATATTTTAGGTTCTCATTGGCAGTCAAATATTCCTTATACAAATGTTCATTATCTTCCCTCGTTTTGTTATAGTTTCCTTAAAATTACATCAAACCATTTGTTCGGTGTGTTGAAGGTCCCAGTCCAATGTTTTAATATTTTGTTTCTTCCTGACAGCAATTGACCATGAATTAGCTAAATAAAAGTCTCGATCGATTTTCGGTATTTTGAATGTGCTCATCTAGGTGGAAGGTGTAAAAGGTTCGGCTCGCCAAAATTAACGGATTTATAATGCAATTTAGTACGATTAAAAAAAAACATTAAATTGTACCGTACATATTTTAACAATTTACTGTT